TATATATATATATATATATAGTAACTTTTTTCTTATCATATTAGCGTTTTCTATCTTAACTTTTCATACTTACTTTACTAATATGAGTTCATTCTAAAACTAGTTTCTTAAAATAATTAAAAATAAAAAATAAAAAAGACTAAGCATCTCTTTCCCAAATCCCCTATGGAATATCTCAAGTCCAAAAGCGACTCTATTTAGGCGTAGTTAGTTTACATCTTGCACCCTCCGATAGAAAGAATGGATCATGTAATGTTGATTACTCTGGCCCCTATAGCAAATAAACCAGTCCCTCATCCGAAAGAGGGTAAATAGAAGTAAAAATGGCACGGGCTAGTAAGTTTTCGTACTTAAAAAATAGCTAGCGTTTGTAAAATCATTGAAAAATAGTCATTATTTTGCTACAATACGGACCGATCCGGCATAATATACTGGAGATCGGTGCACATGTGTATGAACTTCCGGTATATTATGCTGGAGCTCCAACACGCGGAAAGTTCCGACATAATATACTAGAGATTGGAGCACATGTGTATGAACTTCCAACATATTATGCTGGACCGATATATTATACTGGAACTCCAGTACATTATGCTGGAGTTCTAATATATTATGTTAGAACTCCAATATATTATGCTGAATTATTTTTCGGATTTTGAACAGTGTTTTCGTTCAAATTTATCTTTACATGAAAAATGGCTAAATTTAAATTACTTTTGAAACTGTGGCTATTTTTCAATTACCACTTGTAAATCTGGTTATTTTTAAATTTCTCCCAATAGAGTAGTATTCGGGCATACAGCATAATGACAAACAGGGTAAATATCTTACATGTAAGGTTGAAATCTAAAGTTCAAGGCAATGTAGAACAGTGGCAGTTACAATTCCAACTCATCTATTAGTGTATAACTCAAAGGAAAGGAAAATGCTTTTCGAAGTTCAGAAAGAAAATCCAAGTATCTAACAATCCATGAGGGAACAAATGCAAAATCTCAATCTTTATCACAGCGGTCTGCCATTGCGAGTACTAAATCTGGCTGAGTTTCACACCTCCAATATCTGAACGTGACAAAAGATGAGAGCTTCTTCCGAAACAACACCGAAGCCATCTGGAGACTATTCAATCCAAACGAAGTGGGTACACAAGACTGTCTATGGCCAAACGATGATGATACTGTCACACAAAAACTACGCAACATGGATTATGGTACACTATCCAATTGTTATGCCCAACTTAGCACGCACAACCACTTCTCTGCTCTGTCTCTGAAACTGCCTCCGGAATGCCCTGGAAGTATCTGTAAACAATGGTAAATAAGAGAGTTTTCAAGTCTTCTAGATCTAGCACCCCAAGAGCACTATTTCAATGTAGAGAGAAGGGTAGACATAGGAATTTAAGAACCGTAACTAGAAGTCAAATAAGTGCTAATGACAGGAAGATAAACTATACATGGCACATTGAAGAAGCCACACTTGCCCATCCAACAACTCAGTGTGTACACTGAATGTCTTAATAGAATCTACCTCCAGATACAAAGTATCACTAGAAAGCACCATCTTGTAATATAACCTAAATATTCCAAGCACATCAAAATGCCAACCTTTTTTACATACAGCATGTTTATGGAGAAAATCTTGACTAGATCCAAAACTGCACTCGTTCTGTAAGTCTAAAGCCCAAAGGTTCACCAATTCGGAATATTCGAAAATATGCCATACCCATCTTACATTCAAGGGGATCCTAGAAGCAATGCACTTCCACTTCTAAGTCATTTCATCATAATTCACCAAATTTTGAGCCGAAAAGCACTAAATCAGCCACTGAGAGAAGAAATGAGCAAGAGCCACAATGGTCCATATATACTATATTATACAATTTATTCAGCTGCCTGACATGAATAAAATTCTAACCAGCACAAGAGCCGGTTCAAGCTCCTCCTCTTCAACTTGACAGAGTAGAACCGGATTAGTCTTCACTGACAGAAGACTAATTCAAACAAGTTTCCAAACAATATAAACTTGAATTGAAATACTATGTGTTACGTCATGCCCACTTAATCATCCCTGAGACCATGTTTATGCTCTCAATTATTTATGTCCTATGATTTTAAGTTACTAACCAACAACCTTGGTAGAGCAGATATGACATTGTGAAGACCTTTACATTGCAAATCTTACTCATTGTAATATACAGGTAATTCTCTATTTTATACTCCTCCAATATAAGAGACAAAGGAAATGCTGGACAGTACTAAACCAATTAGAAGGACATCAACAACCAATGTCACTAAGGAATGAAGCAGCATGAATAAGACAATGAAGAGAAGAATCAGGCTGCATAATGGTCAACCTGTGAAGAACAATTGATGTCCTTCACAGTTATAAACATAAATAAAAGTTACTATCTGTTCCTCAACATTGTTGGAGGTGCGCGTAAAGCGCGCTTAAGCTTTCAAAATCAGGTTGTATGCTTTGGTGGAGGCGTCGAGGTACTGAGGCGTGTGCACCTTCAGCAATGGGTTCTGTTTTTAAGGAAACATCATCATATGTATATCTAATTATAATTTTTTCATTCTTTTGTCCAAATAATTATTTTTTGTATTTATAGTTACATTCTCTTTGCATTATATTTCTATGTTTTATTTTTCTTCATTGGAGCTTTTCTATGCTAAAGCCCACGCTTTAATTGCACTTTGCGCTTAAAGCTCCAAAGTTTTTGGATCTTTTTTCGCTTTTCGCTTTTGCCTATTCTGTTGTTCCTTAAGCCTAGTAATAGGCCAAATACATGCGTAGCCCCATAAACTTGGTACCAATTTCCACCTAAACACTCTAACTAAGGTTTGTTCCATTTAGACCCTCTAACCTTATTTAATCTGTACCAACCAGACCCCTCATGAGTCATGACTAACCACTACAAAAACTATCACATGTGAACTTCATGCCTGACATGTCAAAAAAAACGACTAAAAAACGCCATGTGACTTTTAACTTTGGCTAATCCCAAAAATAAAGTTTTTCAGCAAATAACTTTTAACTTTCTTCTTCCATACAACTCACCCCCACCTCAAACAGTAGTTTAGATAGCGTTTGCAAATCCCCACTCCGTCTTATTCTATAACGCCCCCCCTACACTGCTACTGTCTCCCCACCGTAGGCCCTACTCACAATTTTCAGATACCCATAAAGAAGAAGAAAGCTTTAAACTTTGTAAAGGCCAATTTTATTTGTGAGTTAAATTTTGTTTGAATTTATCCGAAGTTGATGTGTTCTTTGTTCTT